AAAATTACTGACATAAATCAGGTGCACTTCATTTAGAGAACACTAGATGGAAGAAGCAGTGGAAATGCATATTTTTTATGAACATTCAATTTTTATTACTATCATAATAAAATTAAATTATGCAGAAGCACATGCCCTAATACACCGTGAACCAAAAACTAAATTTCTTTAAATTACGAATTAATCAGCTAATCCGCAGGCAATCTGTTATGCGATTTTGAATTTAATGAATTTAAACTCCAAATGAACAGGTTTTACCGTATTCGAAATGCTGTAGGCCCAGAATCGAATATCAACCAATGAGAGTAAAAATGATTAAGTGGGAAAAGGACTCTAAATAGAAACGATGCAGAACAGCAACCACATACCTAGACACCAGTCTTAAATATATAAATAATCAGCAGTCGCTTGCGATCCACTGCTGAATGAAGACCTCTCTAGCACTTCGGCATAAAAATCTGTTTTCTTTGATTCTAATCCAGTGAACCTTTTCAGCTGATTCTGCCATTGATCTAGAGTCCTTTTATGAGCCGTTTACTCTCTCCTGGAACCCAATCCGTTTCTCTGGTTTGTTCCTTTTGTAACGTGTCCTCTCCATTGCCACTTAAACTATTTCACGCAGGCAATGACATCGGAGGCTCTTGCTTGTACCATCAATCACTCTTTCGTCTTCAGGTTCATTTTCGATCCTATATTGATACTTGTGCAGTTCCGTCTTGAACATCGATATGTATTATTGTACGTGCGCATACCTTGATAAATTTATTTACCAATTAGTTACTAACTGTGGTACCAAACATATTAATATTGAATATTTAGCTTTGCAACATGCTTCTGCATATTCACATTATAAAGTATTTATGAGGAGGCTGATGACTACCAGCTCGAATAAAAATAAAAACGTTCTTCTCCATTGGCGCATTTTTTGTGCACCACAGCCTTAAATTTCACTGCGCCGTGTTGCCCTGCCTTAATGGAAGCAAACGTTTCTATCTGAAATTTAATCGATATCCTACGCGGCATAAATTCCTTCAAGCATACAAAAAAGCGACGGCTTCGTACTCATCAAAAAACACGGAATGCTTGCTGGTTACTCGTACAGACGAAACGTAAGCACGGTGCTGAACACACCTGCGAGGAACGTGAACATATCATGAGTGAAACGAATCAAAACTTCAAACGTTCAACGTATCGTTTACAAGGCTACATACCTGCCGCACAAAAAATCGTACGTACATACAAGATACGATCGAAAATATTACCTCTGAACCAGACTCATCATTCATTATCATTGCCACATACTTTACTAAAGTACGATTATGATAGCCTGAAACAAAGAACAACCTATGACAGTGATAACTGTACACCGCCAGGAGTGAAACATGACGATCGTGGACATTCATCGGGGCGGAGCCGAACCGAGTACCGAATATGACAACCGCAGTGTTTTAATAACTCGTAAAGTAAGGAGACTAGACAGATAGATAATCGGAAATAAGAACCAGTGAGTGCCGCCGGCGACACCGTCCCCATAATAACTTGTACGTACAACAGCAGCAAAGTGAGGGAGTGGGAGTAGCCAGAGGACGACGTTCCGCTTTGTACACAGCATTAACTACTAAGTAACCGTTGGAGAAAGGCCTACGCGACAGAATCGATCGACCACGAACAAAATGATGACAAACGAAACATGTTCCGCCGTCCGTCGGTCGACCAGTTGGTGGTGCATTATGAGGCAATGGTAACAGTGGTGATAGGAGGTCAATCACAGCACGTGGGAATCGGGACAACAAGCGAGCGATGGACAGAGGCTGATCACGTCTTGGAATTGGACGTCAACCAAGTCAATCCCTCGTACAAGCCCTCACCGGTCGTCGCACAACACGGCTGCACATACCAATTGCGGTCTCGTAGACGAGTCAGACCAAGCTTTTCTTGTATTTCTTGTGGCTTCATCGCTAAAATCAAAGTACCGTCAGTAGGACAACATCATATGCATAAAAGAAATAAACATTGTGCAATATAATAAGTTTTCGCGCTTGGCGTATAACTTATCCAAAACCAGCTTTCACCGAGCATAGTACCGCCCCGTTACCCTTAGTTGCCTAACG